TGTTCTATCTGGTGAAATCTATAATGGGGTTATAAGGGGCATCAAACATTTTGTGTTTGAACAGAGTGACTTCCCGAAACTCTATCACTCACTTGTCAATATGTTATTATGTCGTCATAAATGAATGGATATTAATCAATAGGATATTAATGTTTCCCATTTTCCATTTTAGGATATGTTTCCCATTTTCTTTTGGTCACCTTTAGTTTTACTTTTCTCCAAGAAACCCAATCCATAATAAACACAACTTCCACCCCTTGTCGTGACGTCAAAAAAGAAATATTTCTCCTTGACCATTCCACTCAGTAATGGATAAATTTATTCAGCAACACCTAACGTCAACTAATGAAGATATCATGAAGCATAATGCCAGCGTAGATGCCATGCCACAAGTTGATATTTTAAAAAAAAGTTGAAGATTCTCAACACTGACTTGTCAAATAACTTGAAGAAACAGATCGAATGACCCCCTTAAAAACATACTTTAACGGTTTTCCTTTGGTCGGCCTTCAAGTTTTATTTTACTTCTTGTTTTGGACGTACACCTATATAGATATATTCTTAAAAGGTGTTTAATCTCTTACTATTTTAAGTTAAACGAAAAATTAGAGAACTCGTATTTCATTGCAAAGTTTTGTGGGGTTTTTTATCGTTATCTAGGGAGCGCAGTCCTTTACCTTGAATTTTGTTTGGTTTACCTGTTCAAGTAGGCTGTAGAAGGTAAAAAATGGTATGGCGTGGCCAACTTATCAGAGCACGGTCTTGTATTTTTTTACTGTGTGTAAAGGCAAACACTGCTGGACACTCCTTTCCGCCAGTACAGGCAGCCCAACAAAAACGGAGCGGACTCAACGGAGGGGCCAGCGTCTGGACTGGAGAAAACTCTGTTGGTACAAAACGTTTGAGTAAAAGAATGTTTTCATATCCTTGTAAGCGTTGACCTTATCTTGCCTGCTCATAGTAACTTGAAGTTGGTTTTTGTGGTTTTTGTCTGGATTGACATAAACGTATCGAAAGTTTCTATTTCATGAGACATTTGTGTATTAGAGTGAAAAGTTTACCATTTTCTATTTATAAATTGTGATACAAGTGTGCTTTATCGACACTATAAAGAACTGAAATACAACTAACTTATTTATAATTTATGATTCCAAACGCTTTGTATAGTTTTGTATTTACCTCATTTAGCAGAAATTAAAAAAACGTTTTTCAAAGTCTCTTGTCCAAAATTTGTAAGGTCTCACTTTGGAGAAAGTAATATCAAAGGAATGTCTTTTTTTTCTTTTTCTTTTTGGCATCTTTTTGGTTAGAAATAAGAAATGGGGCCATACCTCCAGACATCTAGTGCTGAAGCGCAGTATGGCAGCGCGAAGCATTTACGGCTATGCTGGAGATTTCGGCCCAAACACCGCTATCCAGTGACTGATCAGGGAGCTCGGCCGAAGTCTAAGGGAGAGGTTAGTCGGCCCCTAGGCCATATAAGATTAACCCCTTGCTATGAACAACAGTTTTTGCTTAGTTTCTCTGGTGATTACCATCCTATTATTTTATCGTACCATGTGGGACGCATAAAATAACGAAATTTATGTACGTTTTGAAAATTTTAACGGGACTTTAGTTAACAGTCTTGCGCATATTCGGTACGAATTTAGGCAGTTTATAAACCGTTTTCTCAAGGTTGCGTGCGTATCGAAATTTAAGGAACTTGACGGACCACGATACCGATTTCTATGAAATTTTTCGCAAATAATTCTTAAAATGGATTATTCCCCTTTAAATATAAAACTGTCTTCTCAGTTTTACTGAATTTGCGTTTTTCAGTTTTGTGGCCCGTCAAGTTGGATGCGCACGCAACCTTGGTCAAAGAAAATATTGGTGAAAGTTTTTCTTGCATGTCCCATACGAAGCCTGAAATGCACTTTATGTGGGTGACGTGAACACAGTTAGCAAAAGGTAACAACAATATGGTACTTTCTTAATCTTTGTCTGCACGTTCAGTTCCGGCATGATTTCTCTGCCTTCAGTACATATGGATATGATACATTCAAGCTTAGTAAGCAACATGCTACAAAATAAATAGCTGTATTGGTACTATATTGAGGTGGTTTTCAACGGGCAACTTACAAGCACACATACACAATACGGTGGGGCTGATTTGTGCAACGTTGGCAACATATTTCACTAAGTGAGTAAATCTTGCAGCAATAATTTAAGAGTGCAAACAATTAATCCGTGAAACACTAATTATTAAATCGTACAAAATAGTGCTAGTTAAACAATAGAAAACAAAGGAATTTGCATGAAATTGTGCTATTTAGTATTACTAAAGTTTCACGGATTTACTGTGGTCACTCTAAAACGACAAAGTAACAAAAGCTACTCACTCGCTCGGTGCGATTTCGGTTGCGTCAAACATCGCACCATGAAGCCCAAAAAAATTGGGCTACCTGTGTTTACAGCATCTTTTTCCACAGGAAGCCCAAAACAGTTCTCCATTCCACTGAATGAATTCAGGGAAGAGAGAAAAAGTAACAGATGGAACTGATGGGGATTTTATAGAGAAAAAACTTCTCAACTCAGCCTAATTTTGCTTAAAGACTACAATTATTTGATACTTTGTGAAAGATACAGATTTTTACAAGATGGCAATGGTCAATATAGGAATTTTGGAGCAGAAATCGTCACTGAGGCTATAGACAAGGACAGAAAGCAGCTGTGGAATTTTGACATTGCATCACACTGAAATTATATCACTACAGATAGAAAGGAAGGATCGCATGACCTATAGTTATACTGGATACTAAACGGTTAAAAATTTTTAATTGACGAATTCTTCAATAATCACAGAAAACAATTCTTTCTCTTAGCTTCAAGACGTGTGTTTACCTCTCAACTTTTGGCCCAGTTTCGTTGCGTTTGAACATTTTCTTCATCTATCTTATAAAGCTTAAGCTTATTTGATTTTATTATTGGATTTTTCATTAGCCTTGAGTTTTGGATATTTCGGAATTCACTTATAAACTGAAGCTTTACAATACTTATTAATTTGATACCATGGAATTGAATGATTTGGATGTATTTTCAAAGTGGGTTTCAAAAGACACCGATAAAAAAGGTTATGACAGAACCACAAAAGTACAAAATAATGAAGAAGCTTTCGTTAGTGCATTTCGAAAGTGGGCAGAACGTCCAAATATGCTTGAAACGAAACTAAAAAAGATGGTGCGTCAAGGTGTTCCTCCAAAGTGCAGGGCAGATTTGTGGAGAGTTGGAAGTGGTGGGGATACAAAGCTACAAAAGCATCCCAATTATTTCCAAGAAACCATCAATGAAATGGGTAAGATAGTATTCTTCGTTTGCACATGGCCTCATAGCCCCCATCTTGTTGGTAGAATTTAACAAAATAATTTTCAATAAATTCTTTTGTTAATGCCATCCAACATGGCTGCCGTGTCTGTTGTAAGTTCACTCCCCTGGGAATGGTTCAAAACCAGCAATATCCAAAGATCATTCTTAAATGATATGTATTATAATGTTAGATATGACTTCCAATTTTCCATTTTCTACCCTTTTGTTCATTTTTTTGCTCTTCCTCTCTGTTTCATTTGGTTTATTTCATAACATTATGAGAATTAATTAAGAATCAAGGCCGACACTCACTTCTCATCATTGGAGTCTGGGGTTTGATTCCCAGACTTGCTATCACTTGTGAGAAGAGTCTGTTATGTCTCCCTTGATTTAAGGGGTTTTTCTCCAGGTTTTGATTCCCTTTTCCTCTCTCTGAACTTAGATCAACTCAGAGGTTATTACAGTTGTCAAAAATTAAATAATTTGTTCTTCTAGGCATACAGATCCCAAGCCAGTTACCAGACAACATGTTTGACAGTCAACAAACCAGCCCAAATTATTATCTCTTGAGTCCGTCTGGAAGAAAAAAACTATTGGATATATTATACGTCATGACCCAAGTCCATCCTGACATACAATTCTGTCCATTACTCCCTTCCATCGCCGCTCTATTTCTACACATAATGGATGAAGATGGGTGCTATTGTTGTTTAGCTGCGATGCTGGAAGAGAACAGGGTCCCATTTTTTGACCAGAGTCAAAGAGCAGTAGCTGCAATGGCAAAGACATTCCAGGATTGTTTGAAACAGTTTATGGTAAGTTAATGCATAGCCTGTATTTAACAAATAAATATATAATCTTCAAGCAAATAAAAATTTTTTGCTTTCTTAGGAAAGTATGGCGCTGGTTGCTGTAATATATTAAGCTATTATGCCTGTAATGCATGGTTCAGTCGGTGCATTACTTAAGGGAATAGTCAAACCAATAACACAGAGATTGATTGGCTGATGAAAAAAGGCAACTTGACAAGTAATATTGTCAGTAAAATTCTGCACAATTTCAATTTTTTTGCCGCCCCATGTCAGATACCCAGGTAATAAGAGTGCAAATTAAAATTGTAAAATTAAAAGAGTTTGCAAATCTTTAGTGTTTGTAAACACCAACTAGTGCAATTAGTTGGGAAAAAGATAATGTTTTAGCAAACTATTTTTATGCTAAAATTTAGCTCTTGAATTGACGAAATTGCTTGCCTACTTAAACCAGATAGATGGCATATTCTGCTGAGTTCCTCAATCCAATTTAAAAAAACAATTAAATTTTCTTTCAGAAAAGTTCGTATGTCCAGTTGAAAATGGTTGTGTCTGCGTCGAGTGAAGTGGAAGTAACAAAAGCAACCATTCTCTTTCCTCACTGGTTGACGTGGCTCTTCAAATACCTTAACATCTGGACCCTTGTAAGTAAATCATCTTATAATTAATTCAGTTGAATGATATTTTGTGATCACCATAATTATTGTCGTCACCATGATCATCATCTGAGTAACTACTAACCTGTGTAGCTTGCTCTGTAGGTCCCCTCTTCCCTCTTCCCTCTTCTCTCTTCCCTCTTCCCTCTTCCCTTCCCAATTCCCCATTCCCTCCCACCCAGCGAGACGCTACTCTGCAGACCAATTGATTACCATTTCTATCACATTTAATAACTGCTATCTTCATGAATATTCTTAACTTAAATAAATATAGTTTCCGTGTTTGTTTTGAAGGTGTATACAGTGGATAACTTCATGATACAAGGACCAAAAGTAATTGTAAGAGTCGGATTAGTTGTGTTCRACAAATTCAGCAAGTGGCTGGCTTTTAAACAAAGTGAGAGAAATCATTTTACACCTTTATTTTAATCTCTTTAAATTTGCCATGATATAATTCTAAAGTTATCAACTCATAATATATTTTGTGAATAATCTGTTCCAACTTACTCAGGATTGTTCATTTTAATTCTTCATTTGTTGTTTATAGTTACAAGTGGAGATATTGAAGCTCTGTTCAGTCATTTTATGAAAGAGTTGCCTTTAAAAGATTACAGATTATTAGAGGTACTTGTTATGGCTAGTACTTAGACATGCATGTAATGATGTTGGAATAGGGTGGTTGTTATTGTGAATTGATAGTGCACACAGCCTAAGCCTCTAATATAACCTGACTTTGCATTGATATTCTTGGAATTCCTGGTTCCCCTTGGGAAATTTTTTTATACTTAACATGTAATTAATCACTACTTAACACATGTAATTGAGAACTACTTAATATGTATTTAATTTGTATTTTTGCTTTACATTTAATCACTGCTTTATCCCTATCTATCAAGTACTTAATTCTGTCTTGCCAGCTAACTAATGTATATTTAATTCATACTTGAATATTTGACTTAATATGTATTTAAACTACTATACTTTATATATACTTAATGTGMAACAAAAATTGTACTTGAATTGCCTTAATAGCTACTTAATATATATTTGTCACATCTACTTACTATACGATCTGGATTTYATGATTCCTATCACAATGCTATGCGCCATCTTCAAAAATTTATCAGAAGAGTGATTGTTCCTTAATTCACAATTAAGGATTCTTTAGATAGCGAATCATTCACTTCGGGATGGCTTC